GACATAGGGAATTAGCCCCCCCCTTCCTCCCTGCCACCCACTGATGCAGGACTAGCCACTTCTCCTTGAAGAACTTAAGTGACTTCCATTGGCTGAATCCCAGAGTTTCTCAAGGTCACCGTGTACTGAAGCACCATTTGCTCAGCTTTTCATGTTTGTGTGCAGCTGGCTCATCTTGACTGGGGGATGAGGATTTCTGCCCTTTCAAAGACAATTCCTCTCAGTCAGCAGCACAAAACTGAGGTCACAAAATTGAAATGCATGAAGTTCCTTCAGAGAAAGATCATTAATTTTGAGGAGATTTTTTTTTGGAAATAGCATAGGATTGAGTCAAAGAAGTCTGCCCTAACTAGTCAATGTCTTGTGGGTGCATACAGCAGTGTTCTCACACAGCCAGACCTTCTGGGAGAGACACGAAGTGGGACTGGGAGTCCAGGACACCTGGGAGTTCTTCAAGATAGAACTCCTGGAGCTGCATGAGCTGGCCCTCTGCATGTGTGGAAAGACCAGCCACAGGGGAAGACGACCGCCCTAGCTGAACAGAGAGCTCTGGAGGGAACTAAGGGGAAAAAAAGGAGTTTATGGCTTTTTGAAGCAAGCAACTCAGAAGATCTACAAGGATGTTGTGAGGTTATTCAGGGAGAAAATTAGAAGGGCCAAAGGCCAACTAGAACTTAATCTGGCTACACCCATAAAAGACAATAAACATGTTTCCATAAATGCCTTAGAAACAAAAAGAGGGCTAAGGAGAATCTTCATTCTTTATTAGATGCGGTGGGAAACATGGCCTCAAAGGATGAGGAAAAGTCTGATGTGCTTAATTCCTTCTTTGTCTCATCTTTAATAGTAGGATGGGTTTTTCTCTGGGTACCCAGCCCCCTGAGCTGGAAGACAGGGATGGGGAGCAGAATGTAGCCACCATAATCATGGAATAGTCTAGGTTGGAAGGGACCTTTAAGATCATGTAGTCCAACCACCAGCCTAAATCTGATGAAAAAGCATCGCTAAACCATGTCAGTAAGCACTATGTCAACCTGTCTTTTGAATACCTCCAGGGATGGTGCCTCAACCACTTCCCTGGGCAGCCCATTTGAATTATTAATAACCCTTTCACTGTGAAGTTTTTCCTGATGTCCAATCTGAACCTCCCCTGGTGCAACTTGAGGTTTCAACAATGCTTCAGGAGCTTAAAATCTAAGGGAAAATGGTGAGGGACCTGCTACAGCATTTAGACACACACAAGTCTACGGGGCTGACTGGCATCCACCCAAAGGCACTGAGGGAGCTGGCAGAGATGCTCACCAAGGCCCTATCCATCCTTTCTCAGCAGCCTTGGCTATCTAGGGAGGTCCCAGGGAACTGCAGGTTAGCAAACATGACACCCATCTAGAAGAATGGCCAGAAAAAGGATCGGGAAAACTACAGGCCAGTCAGTCTGACCTCGGTGCCAGGGAAGGTTTTAGAACAGATCATCCGGAGTGACCTCATGTCCTGGTTTGAGGTAAAACAGAACTAATTTTCTGTTCAGTAATTTTACTTATTAGCTGGGCCTCTTCTAACTAACTAAACTCTGAAATTAACAGCCTATTGTTCAGAAACTGTTCACTCTCACAGTGATAAGACCTGATTATACCAAGGAAGGGTGTGCAGAGAGGCTCTTGCTTATACTAATTGCTATAACAACCGAGGTCAGGCAAATTTGTTATTTGCCCCATTGGAGGGTCGGAAGTGGAAAAAGCAAAGAGGGATCCCACCTGTAGGGAGGAACGGACAGGAGAGGTGACCCAAAACCGACCAACAGGGTATTCCATCCCATCCGCATCGTGCTCAGTATAAAAGCTGAGGGATCAAAGGGTCAACTCTCTTCCTTCAATGGCCAACGTCTGAGGAGGACCCCGTCTGTTCGTCTGCCTTTGATCCCAATCCAAGCATTCCTGACGCCAGATCCAGAATCCGGCTCCTGTCCATCACCGAGTCCAGCCTGTGATTTTCCCCTGTGCTGGAGACGTGATCATCATCCTGGGAGCTTGATACAGTTTTGTATATACTGTAAACATTTTTTTAAATATATATATTTCTTTTTTTTTCCTCCTCCTCTTCTTCTTCTTCTTCTTCTTCTTCTTCTTCTTCTTCCTCTTCTTCTTCTTCTTCTTCTTCTTCTTCTTTCATTATTTATTTATATTTTCATTAAAGCAGTTTAGTCTGTTTCTAAACTCATAATTTTTTTTTTCCCCTCTTCCTCTCCTTTCTTTTCCTTAGGAGGGGGAGGGAGGAGCCATCTGTCATTCTGGTTGGTCAATTCGGTCAAAACCACAACATTTTTTTACAAAGTGGTTTAATTAGCAAAAGGTTCCTGTCCCCCCCCCCCCCTTCCTCTCCTCTCTTTTCCTTAGGAGGGGGAGGGAGGGGCCATCTGTTGTTCTGATTGGTCAATTCAGTCAAAACCATGGCACGTCATGTGGCACATGCAGGACAACCAGGTGATGAGGCCCATCCAGCATGAGTTCATGAAAGGTAGGTCCTGCTTGACAAACCTGATCTCCTTCTATGACAACGAGACTTGCATAGGGGAGGAGGGACAGGCTGTGGATGTTGTTTACCTGTACTTTAGTAAAGCCTTTGACACCATTTCCTAGAGGAGAAATTCTCAGAGAAACTGGCTGGTCACAACTTGCAGTCACCAGGGCTTGGCATTTGGACTGATTCTCTTTAATATCTTTATCAATGGTCTGATGAGAGGATTGAGTGCACCCTCAGTAAGTTCACAGATGACAAGGAGCTTGGTGGGAGTGTTGACCTGCTTGAGGGCAGGAATTGTCTACAGAGTGATCTGGACAGGCTGGATTGATGGGAGAGGCCAACGGGATGAGATTCAACAAGGCGAAGTGCCGGGTCCTGCCCTTGGGTCACACCAATCCCACAAATGTAACGGCTGGGGGAAGAGTGGCTGGACCTGCCCAGCAGAAAATGACCTGGGGGTTGTTGGTCAACAACCACCTGAATAGGAGCCAGCAGTGTGCCCAGGAGGCCAAGAAGGTCAACAGCATCCTGGCCTGTGTCAGGAACAGTATGGCCAGCAGTATGAGGCAAGGAGGTGTCCTGCTGTACTTGGCACTGGTGAGGCCCCACCTCAAATACTGTGTCCAGTTTTGGTCCCCTCACTATAAGAAAGATATTGGGATCCTGGAGCATGTCCAAAAAAGATCAACAAAGCTGGTGAGGGGCCTTGTGAAGAGCGGCTGAGGGAACTGGGTTCTTTAGCCTGAATAAAGGGAGGCTGAGGACCTCGTTACTCTCTACAACTACTGGAAGAAGGTTATAGCTAGCTTGTGAGTTTCCTCTCCCAAGTACTTAGAGTGATAGGACAAGAGGAAATGGCTGCAAGTTGCACCAGGAGATGTAGATTGGATATTAGGAAATATGTCCTCACTGAAAGGTTTGCCAAGCACTGGAGTGGGCTGCCCAGGGAAGTGGTTGACTTGCCATCACTGGCAAGACTTGAGGCTGTGGCACATGGTGATGTGGTTTAGTGGTGGGCTTGGCACTGTGAGGTTTACAGTTGGACTCAATGATCCTAAAGGTCCTTTCCAACTGAAGTGCTTCTATGAGTCCATGATTCTTTTGAGGCTCAGGACTTGGTTTCATCCTCGCCCCTTCTTTGGGAGGCCAGGAGGTATCATAGAACGTTCCCACACTGGGCACTGCTCTCCCTCACATCCCACTGCCCCCAGGAAGAGCCCAGAGCCAGGAGTGAGGGGCAGGATCTGCCTTGGCAGGGCCTGGGGGTGAGGCCTTGGCCTTTCTGCTTCCTCAAACCAAGCCAGGGGTTCCTCAGCATTACAGCCACCTGCCCTCTGCCTTTGCCTACTGCAATCACAGCCTCCAATTGTCTCTCTAACGAGTCCCTGGGGAGCCTTTGTCAGGAACTGCCCTCAGTGGGGCTCATTAATGCTTCCAGGTACTTGGAGTTTGGCTCCTGATTTCTTGAGCGCTTTCTTCAATCTTCTCTCACTATCTGAGCTTCATGGACTCAGCAGCAAATACCCCATGGGGCTCGTTAAAAGACAGAAAGCCTTCACAAGGTATTGATCTCTTTGTCACTTTCCTCAGGTCTTCAAGACAATGTGGCCATCAGGACTGAGGCAGTGATCGTCCCCCCGTACTCAGCACTAGTGAGGCCCAAACTCCATAGGACTTGATGAGATTGATTTGCAGGTCCTGAGGGAACTGGTGGATGAAGTTGCCAAGCCACTATCTGTCATATTAGGAAATATGTCCTCACTGAAAGGTTTGCCAAGCACTGGAGTGGGCTGCCCAGGGAAGTGGTTGACTTGCCATCACTGGCAAGACTTGAGGCTGTGGCACATGGTGATGTGGTTTAGTGGTGGGCTTGGCACTGTGAGGTTTACAGTTGGACTCAATGATCCTAAAGGTCCTTTCCAACTGAAGTGCTTCTATGAGTCCATGATTCTTTTGAGGCTCAGGACTTGGTTTCATCCTCGCCCCTTCTTTGGGAGGCCAGGAGGTATCATAGAACGTTCCCACACTGGGCACTGCTCTCCCTCACATCCCACTGCCCCCAGGAAGAGCCCAGAGCCAGGAGTGAGGGGCAGGATCTGCCTTGGCAGGGCCTGGGGGTGAGGCCTTGGCCTTTCTGCTTCCTCAAACCAAGCCAGGGGTTCCTCAGCATTACAGCCACCTGCCCTCTGCCTTTGCCTACTGCAATCACAGCCTCCAATTGTCTCTCCAACGAGTCCCTGGGAAACCTTTGTCAGGAACTGCCCTCAGTGGGGCTCATTAATGCTTCCAGGTACTTGGAGTTTGGCTTCTGATTTCTTGAGCGCTTTCTTCCATCTTCTCTCACTATCTGAGCTTCATGGACTCAGCAGCAAATACCCCATGGGGCTCGTTAAAAGACAGAAAGCCTTCACAAGGTATTGATCTCTTTGTCACTTTCCTCAGGTCTTCAAGACAATGTGGCCATCAGGACTGAGGCAGTGATCGTCCCCCCGTACTCAGCACTAGTGAGGCCCAAACTCCATAGGACTTGATGAGATTGATTTGCAGGTCCTGAGGGAACTGGTGGATGAAGTTGCCAAGCCACTATCTGTCATATTTGAGAACTCATGGTAGTCCAGTGAAGTTCCTGCTGACTGGAAAAGGGGAAATGAAACCCCTGTTTTCACGGAATCACGGAATTGTCAGAGTTGGAAAGGACCTCTAGAGATCATCTGGTCCAACTCCCCTGCTAAAGCAGGAACGCCTGGAGCACACTACTCAGGACTGCATCCATCCCTTTTCAAAAAGGGAAAACTGGAAAAATCAGGAAAGTGCAGGCCAGTCAGTCTCACCTCTGTGCCTGGCAAGATCACGGACAGATTCTCTTATGGATGTTCTGCATGGAAACTATGATAAGTACATGGAAAATGAGGAGGTGATTGGTGACAGCCAACGTGGCTTCACTAAGGGCAAATTGTGCCTGATAAATGTGATGGCCTCCTATGATGGTGTTACAGGCTTTGTGGATAAGGGCAGAGCAACTGACATCACCTACCTGGGCTTGTGCAAAGTCTTAGACGCTGGCCCACATGGCATCCTGGTCTCTGACTTGGAGAAACATGAGTTTGAAGGGTGGACCACTAGGACAAAAAACTGGCTGGATGGTTGCACTCAAAAGAGTAGTGGTCAACAGAGCTATGTCCAAGTGGTAACCAGTGAGGAGTGGCATTCGTCAGCGGTTGGTACTGGGACAAGTGTAGTTCAGCATCCTTGTCAGCAACATGGACAGTAGGATTGAGAGCACCCTCAGCAAGTTTGACGACATAAAGCTGTATGCCACAATCGACATGCTAGAGGGAAGGGATGCCATCCAGAGGGACCTACCCAGGCCTGAAAAGTAGGCCTGTGTGAACCTCACGAAGTTCAAACAAGCCAAGTGCAAGGTCCTACACCTGGGTTGAGGCAATCCCAAGAACAAATTCCAAGTGGGTGGAGAATGGATTGAAAATAGCCCTGAGGAGAAGGACGTGGGGGTATTGCTGGGTGAGAAGCTCAACATGAGCAGGCAACGTGTGGCTCTCATCCCAGAAAACCAATGGCATCCTGGGCTGCATCAGCAGTAACATGGCCAGCAGGACGAGAGAGGTGACTCTGCCCCTCTGCTTCTCTCTCATGATGCTACTGTGTCTACCTCTAGGGCCCCCAACATAAGAAGGATGTGGACCTGTTGAAGTGACACTAGAGGAAGCCATGGAGATGCTCCGAAGGCTGAAGCCCCTCTGCTGTGTGGACAGACTGAGAGAGTTGGGGGGGGGGGGGGATGGGATTAAAAGGGAAAAACCAATTAAATCAAGGAAGGAAGGAAGGAAGGGAGGGAGGGAGGGAGGAAAAAGTTTTTGGCATTTCCTGAGATACCGTGGGAGTGTTTTAAACATAATGGGCATTTTATTGATTCTGAAGAAGTATGTCTTGAAATAGTTTCAACAGGGACTCCTTGAGCTCCTGGTTCCTCATGCTGTAGATGAGGGGGTTCAGTACTGGCGGCACCACTGAGTACAGAACTGCCACCAGCAGGTCCAGGGATGGGGAAGAGATGGAGGGAGACTTCAGGTGGGCAAACATGGCAGTGCTGGCAAAAAGAGAAACCACGGCCAGGTGAGGGAGGCAGGTGGAAAAGGCTTTGTGCCGTCCCTGCTCGGCAGGGGTCCTCAGCACGGCCCTGAAGATCTGCACATAGGAGAACAAAATGAAAACAAAACATACTAAAGAAAAAAACACATTAAACACAAGAAGACCAACTTCCCTGAGGTAGTGTGTTTCTGAACAGGAAAGCTTGAGTATCTCAGGGACTTCACAAAAGAATTGGTCCAGGACATTTCCCTGGCAGAGGGGTATTGAAAATGTACTGGCCGTGTGCAGGAGAGCAGTGAGAAACCCAGTTCCCCAGGCTGCTGCTGCCATGTGGACACAAGCTCTGCTGCCCAGGAGGGTCCCATAGTGCAGGGGTTTGCAGATGGAAATGTAGCGGTCGTAGGACATGACGGTCAGAAGATAATATTCTGATGATATAAAAAGTAGAAACAGAAAGACCTGGGCAGCACATCCCGAGTAGAAGATGACCCTGGTGTCCCGGAGGGAATTGGCCATGGACTTGGGGACAGTGGTGGAGATGCAGCCCAGGTCAAGAACAGAGAGGTTGAGGAGGAAGAAGTACATGGGGGTGTGGAGGCGGTGGTCACAGGCGATGGCAGTGATGATGAGGCCGTTGCCCAGGAGGGCAGCCAGGTAGATGCCCAGGAAGAGCCAGAAGTGCAAGAGCTGCAGCTCCTGTGAGTCTGCGAATGGCAGGAGGAGGAATTCGGTGATGAAGCTGTAGTTGGACATCAGCTTCTCCTGGGCACAGGGAGCTGCCCAAGGAAGAAAAACATTGGCAGGTTAGGACAAACATCTTGGAATAAAACTCAAAGTTCTCATAGAAACACTCCAGTTGTCTAATTGCTTGGTAGCCCCTTCGTTCATCTCCTTTTCAGGAGTTCCTTTGTTTTCTGTTTGAGTGTTCCATGAGGACCTGAGGCTCTGCTTTTCTCTCCAGTTCTGGGTTCTACTCTACAGTGGAGCAGGGTGGGCATTAAGCTTTGCTGCTCAGAATTTCGGTCAGATGTTACCCACTCACAATCGTAAGATTAAGAGGGGAATGTTCTTTTGAAGCAGAAACTGTCTGCATTTTTACTGCACTCAGAGTGAAGAGCTGTGTCTGGGGAGATGCAAAGGCATTCCCTGTGGCTTAGTGCTGAGGGAGGAGAGCTGGTCTGTCCATCAGCCTTGTTCCTGCCTTCTTTGTGCTTGTGCTTCTTTGGCATGTTCATTATTTCTCCAAAGAAGCAGAGAACAGCAAAGAAAAGAGAATTCTCTTCCAGAGTACAGACCTGCATGGAGGGACCCACAGGATCGGTGTCTGAGCTGCAGCTGAAACCCCACCCCACAGCAAGTTGTGGGGAAGACCAAAGGCAGCACAGAGAGGAGGGGAAGGCATAAGGAGCATCACCAGGATCCTCTGCAAAAGGCCTGCAAGGTCAGGGAGAGAGTGCAGAGGTGATGTTGGAGCTCTCTGTAAGCTGAAGCAGAGGGAAGTTGGCATTTATGAGGCTTCACCAAGACTTTTACATCTCTCAGCATAACAGCTGAAGAGTCTCAGTTCCACACCCAAACCTGGAAGAGGAATTCCAGTTTCTCACCACCCAGCCCACAAAAAGTAGAAAGATCAAAGCACAGACTCCTTCACTTTCATGTAGCCATCACATAAACCTTCCTCTTGAAACGTCCCCTCAGAAACACCCTGGGGCTGATCTGGAGCTGTGAGCATCCGTCCCCAACACAGCACCCTCTTGACAGCAGAAAGATCCTGCCCTGCCAGGCAGGGCTCCTTTCACCCGCAGCTTCTCCCCACAGTGCCATGGGGAGCTGCCTGGACAGGCTGAGAGCTGACCCTGGCAGGAGTCAGGGTCCCTGCCCTGGCACACACCCCAAGGGGCACAGGAACCCTGCTCAGAAGGGGTCCCCTGGGTACCCCTGGCTGCACACACACCTTCACCCCCCTGAAGCCCTCCCTGGGAGAAGGCAGCCATCCTGCCCTGTCCCTCTGAGGGTGCAGCAGGGAAGCCCCACTCTGGGGCACGTCCCTCTCCACACTAAGGAAACTCTGAGAGCCATCCTTCCAGATCCCACCTACGCTCCTGTGCATTGACCTGCAGCCAGAGAGTTACTGCGCTGAGAGCTGGGAAGAGTTCTCCCCCAGAAAACCCTCACCATCCTCCAGCTCCACGGTGCCTTTAACCTCCCTCTCACCCCTCTCGTATCTCTTCAGTGCCTGCAGGCAGTGCCCTCAGCCCTGCTCTGCTTTTCAGGGGAGGCTCCTGGGCAGAGCTGTCTCTCTGCAGTGCTCCCACTTGCCAGGAGCTCCCTCCATCCCAAGAGCCCGGCCCAGCTCAGCAGCCAAGGACCAGCCCAAGGTGGCACTTTCTCTGCCCCCTCTGGGCTCCCTTGAGGTGTCCTTGGGGCTCCAGGGGAATCTGCTGTGAAACAGGCTGCAGCAATCACTGATGTTCCCTCCCTCACCACTTCCAGCAGCTTCCTTTCTCCTTTTAGAGACAGAGTTAGGTCTAAATATCACCTTTCCTCACACCACCATTAGACAGGACACCCAGACTGTGCCAGGGAGGGATCTCCTTTGCCCTTGCTGAGGGAAGGGATTCAGCTGAGTGAATTGAGGCTCCTCTTTCTGGGTTGGCAGTCCTGGGGCTAGAAGGGGACTCAGCTCCTCCCATGCCTGCCACAAACCCACAGGTGCTGGGATTCCTCTTGCCTCAGTTCACATGGGCACAAAACAGGCTCCTGCATGTGAGATCCTTGTCTCACCTCCCGCTCTCCTCACTGGAGATGGGGGCCAGCAGTCAGTTGTTCAGACACTACAACCTGGTGACATCTGAGGAGCCAGAGGGGACCAAGGTGCATGCTGGAAACTGGAAGGTCAAATGGAGTAGTTCACAGAGACAGGGCAGCATCTGGGGGACGTCTTCTTAGGGGCTGGTAGGAAATTCTTTCTGGCCAACTGAAATGACAGCAGATGCCCCCATCTAGGACAAGTGAACCTGTAGCTATTCCTTTTGTCCAGGGCAGCCTGTAGAGGTCTCCAGCTGACCAGCTGGAGTCATGTGCCGTAGGGAGAGTGAAGTCTCTCTTTACCTGTTCTCCACCAGCTGTATTTTCTACATGTCCTTTGAGTATCATGGCGATGGTCTCATGCACATCCCTTTATTGAGTAACCCAATTCAGGGCAGCTGAATTTCAGTCTCATGTCCCAGTACAGACCTGCAGCACCTGCTGCTCTGTATCACGGAAAGCTTCTTCCTCCCTTAATAAATGAGAAGACCTCTGCTTTCATTGCTCCTTCTTGACCATAGCGGTGACTGTTATAGCTGAGGGCCGGGTCTCTGGTTGAGGTACAGTGTCTCTTTGTGTGTCTTTAGATGCAGAGACCTCTCTTCTCCTGAGGGTGTTGAATAGTGCTGAACAGAGCTCAGGAGGTGCTGGCCAGCCCCCAGCACAGTGTGACAAGTGGTGGCTCTTTGGCACGGCCAGGGCCCCCCTTTTTTCCAGTGTTCTGTCATTTTATCAGGATCCCTCTCTTGTTTGGGTTGAAGTCCCGGACCATCAAAGGTGACAATTGTTCTAGGTACCTGCCCATATTCTCCCACACATCTTGCCACCCATAACCACGCTGCCTCAGGGTGTACCTCTGGATATCCAGAGAGTCCTGAGTAGTGCTTGGGATCATCTTTAAGGACATAACCAGAGTGTCCTCCTTTAACACATAACCAGAGTGTTCACAGATGTCTCAGGACAACAAGTGACCCCATCCAGGGCCCCGCTCACCTGCTGCAGGTGCACCTCCTCCTGTGTGGTGGTGATTGGGGTAAGGAGCAACAGTCACTGCCGCCTGTACTGCTCAGGGCTGTGGTCACACCATCAGATAATGTACCTCCAGCTTCCCACCTGGCTCCTGCTTCCTGCATTGCCTTCATTGCAAGGCTGCCACAGAGCCTTATGGAGCGAGCACGTATTGCTCAGGCTCCTGAAACCCCCCTCCCCCGCCCCCAACACACAGGACACCTTTAACAGCTGAGCTCCTGGGATTCAGCAGTCACCTTGGGCTTCAGGCCCCTCTCTTCCTGCTCTTCCCAATGATCCACACCATGATCCTGGCTTCACACCTCTCTATCACAAACCTCTCCATTGGGTGTTGGAATGGAGGGATGCAGGCTTTTCAGGAAGGACAGGCAGGGCAGACGAGGAGGGGGTGTTGCCCTCTATGTCAAGGACCAGCTGGAGCACATGGAGCTCCACCTGGGGATGGATGAAGAGCCAAGGGAGAGCTTATGGGTCAGGATTCAATGGAATGCAGGGGCAGGTGACATTACAGTGGGGGTCTGCTACAGGCCACCTGACCAGGAAGAGTGAGCAGAGGAGGCCCTCTGTAGAAAGACAGGAGCTATATCACATTCACAGGCCCTTGTTCTCAGGGGGAACTTAAAACACCCCAGTATCTGTTGGAGGGACAACAACAGCAGGGCAACAAGCAATCCAGGTGGTTCTTGGAATACATCAATGACAATATCCTTCTACAAGTGGTAGAGGAGCCAATGAGGAGAGGAGCTACGGTGGACCACAATCTTAGTAACAAGGAAGGGCTGGTGGGGAATATCAAGCTGAAGGGCAGCTTTGGCTGTAGTGGCCATTAAATGGTAGAGCTCAAGATCCTTAGGGTGGTGAGGAGCGTGCATATCAGGCTCACTGCCCTGGAGAGCAGACTTTGGCCTCTTGAGGGATTTGCTTGATAGGGTACCATGGGATAAAGCACTGGAGGACAGAGGGGCCCAAGGAAGCTGGTTAGTATTCAAAGATCACCTCCTCCAAGCTCAGGAGCAATGTATCCCAACAAAGAAGAAGTCAGACAAAACAGCCAGGAGGCCTGCATGGATGAACAAGGAGCTCCTGGACAGTCTCAAACAGAAAAGGGAAGCCTACAGGGGGTCGATGCGAGGACAGGAAGCCTGGGAGGAATACAGAGAAACTGCCCCAGTGGCCAGGAACCAAATTATGCAAACTAAAGACCAGGTAAAATTAAATCTGCCCAGAGACATCAAGGGCAACAAGAAAAGCTTCTGTAAGTGTGTCAGAGATAAAGGGAGGACTAGGGAAGATGTGGGCCCTCTCATGAAGGAAAGAGGAGACCTGGCCGCCCAGAATATGGAGAAGGCTGAGGTACCGAATAACTCTTTTGCCTTTGTCTTCACCAGCAAGGGCTCTAACTACACCACCCAAGTTGCAGGAGACAAAGCCAGGGGCTTTGAGAATGAAGAACCAGCCATTGTGGGAAAAGATCAGGTGTGAGACCATCTAAGGAGCATGAAGGTGCTTTTAGATTCTTCCCTGTCACCTTCCCTGTGTTGCCTAATGGTAGGATAAGAAAAGGCGATTCGTGACTCTCATGGTTCTCATGCCCAACTCTTTTCCTGACAGGAGAAATGGCACTGCTGGAAATTAATCTCTCCCACGCTGAAGGAACATCAGTGATTCCTTCATCCTGTTTCACAGCTGGTTCCCCTGGAACCCCAGAGACACCTCCAGGGACCCCAGAGCAGGCAGAGGAAGTCACGTCTTGGGTTTGTGGCAACTATAGGTGAGAGCTGAGTTCACTTCCAACCCAGGACTGCAAACCAAGGATGAGATGCCTTGACTGACAAAGCTGACTCCTTTTGCTCAGCGGAGGCAAATGGGACCTGTTCCTGTCCAGGTTTTCTGTTTCATCCCAGAAGTAACAAGAC